GGGGGGGGGGGGGGGGGGGGGGGGGGGGGGGGGGGGGGGGGAGGGGGGTAGATGGAACCCCTTCCCGAAGTTTCTGATATGCTGAAGTATTTTGAAAGGATTTTGCCTTTAGTGGAAAGCCCTTGATCTTCTTAACAAGATGAGGTATATTTCACGGGTGGTGACGCTGCTGGAGGCCTGTGACGTCACCAACAATGTTCGTCATCTCTGCCGCCATCTTGAAGATTAAAGATTGTTAATTGCTCTTTAGAAAGTGGTGAAGTTCCTCTGCCTATCAAAAGGGCTATTTTATCTCCTCTTCTTAAAAAACCGTCCCTTGCCACCGAGCTCTATCAAAGCTTCAGACCGGTATCGAACCTCATGCTTGTGTGGAAGGCGACAGAAAAAGTAGCGGCTACGCAACTCTGGGAATATGGATTAAATGGATTAAATGAGGAACTTCAGTCTGCTTATAAAGGTAATCATAGCTGTGAAACAGCTCTGATTCGAGTACAGGATGATATCCTCAGAGCCATCGATAGTCATCGCAGTGTTTTGCTTTTGTTATTGGATCTTTCTGCAACCTTTGATACGGTTGATCATGAAATTATTCTAGGAAGACTCTCCTCTAGGTTCGGTATCAAAGGAAAAGCCCTGGATTGGCTACGATCTTACCTTACAGACCGTACTCAGCTTGTGAAAGTAGACGACGCTTCATCTACGGTACGACCCCTTCATTGGGGTGTGCCTCAAGGTTCGGTCTTAGGTCCCATGCTTTACTTATTGTATACATCTCCACTGGGTGATATTGTTCGTGAGCATGGCTTGTCGTTTCACTTTTATGCTGATGACTCGCAGCTTTATACATCTTTTGCTTGCAATGACACCTCTGATCTAGTGGCTGCAAAACATCGTCTTGAGAACTGCGTTGCTGACGTCAATTTGTGGATGACTGCCAACAAGCTAAAGCTTAACAATGATAAATCAAAATTTATCTTTCTGCACTCCCGTTTTCGTCATTCGTTGCCCCTGCCCACGATTTCTGTTGGCATGGAAAACATCAGGTCCTCTCAACAGGCTCGCAATCTAGGCGTGATTTTTGACGACACGATGTCACTTTCACCTCATGTTAATACAATATTTAAGGGTGCCTTCTATCACATACGAAATATTTCTAAAATAAGAAAATACATCAGTACAAGTACCACGGAAATTCTAATTCACAGTTTTGTTAGCTCGAAGTTGGACTTTTGTAATTCTCTTCTTTTTGGTGCCCAAAAACGGGACATAACTAAGTTGCAGTCCGTTCAGAATGCGGCTGCTCGAATTAAAAACGAGAGACTCTAAGAGATCTTCACTGGTTTCCTGTTGAGGAGAGAAATGTTTTTAAAATAAATTTAATAACTTTTAAAACATTGAATGGCGCCGGTCCCCGATATCTTGAAGATATTTAAAAATTTTACCATCAAGCAAGGACATTACGGTCATCAAGGGATTTTTTACGCCTTGAAGAACCAAATTTTAACATGAAAACTTATGGCCAGCGAGCGTTTTCCGTTGCTGCCCCCCGACTATGGAACAAGCTCCCCTTTGAAATTCGAGCTTGTTCTGATGTTAATCTTTTTAAATCTAAGTTAAAAACGTTTCTTTTTAAAAAGGTATATACCATTTAATTTTGTCATATTTGTTTTTGTTTTTGTTTTTTTTTTCTTTCCTTTTTAAGTTGTGTACAGTAGGGTTAATGTAAGCTTGTGCTTAATGATATTCTTATGTCCTTTTTTACATTGTAAAGCGCTTAGAACAGCGATGTATAAGCGCTTTATAAATTCCATTATTATTATTATTATTATTATTATTATTGAATTTTACCAAGAATTAGAAATCAAGTTAAAACCGCGAGAAATGGTAATTTTTTGTGCTTGACAAGAATAATAACGCATAAATAACCACTTTGCATGATTTCAGCCACAAGACTCACTTTTATTCTTGAAAGAAGTTGAAAAAACATGTATTTTCACCCAAAATTGGCTTGGCTTATGCTACTTATGACGTCGTATCTCGTAACCATAGCAACTGACCAACGCTAAACTTGTCCCAAAATCTGCGTGAGGTATGAACGAACAGCTACTGAAAACGTCAGGTGCTGCTGTTTTATCCTCTAGCAAAAAACTCAGAAAAACCTTATGGGTGGATGGCATCCACCCCACCACCTCTCCCCCCCCC